GTCAGTACAGTGTGCTGTGTGACTGACTGTGTGTGAGAGAGAGAGAGAGAGAGAGAGAGAGAGAGTGTGTGTGTGTGTGTGTGTGTGTGTGTGTCTCGCTAACCTTGCCGAGTTGCTTCTCCTTGGCCTTGGCCTTCTGTAGGTCCAGGTGCTGGTTCTTGAAGTCTCCCTGCATGAGGTTCCTCCGCTGTACCTCCTGCTCCACCTGCAGGTTCAGGTTCTTGCTCTGCACACAACACACAGAATTAGAAAACATTAGGTACAGTACAGAAGACCGTTTCTATTCTTTGCTTTGTATATACTTGACAAAACATACAAAAATTAAGTACAGTACAGAACACATATCAGACATAATTTGTCTGAAAGAAGACATATTGGACATAATTTACCTAGAGTATACATTTCAGATATTATTTATCAAAGGATGATATATCAGTCATGATTTACCTGAAGAAAACAACCTAATGACATAAAAACAGACATGAATTGTCTAAAAATATATCAGATTGGATTTATCTAAAGATGACAATTTAATCAAATATCAGACATGAATTATCTTAAGATATACCAGACAAAATTTATCTGAAGAAGACAAATCAGATATGATTTATCAAAACCATGATTTATCAGAACAAGGCGAAAAAGAAATAGACATATCAGACACGATTTCTTGAAAGAAAACACATCCAACACGACTAATCCAAAGAAGAAAATCTCTGCACAAACTACAGCGTCACAGATTATTAACTCATTGCAGACGCGCATTCTGTACATCTGAGCGTTTGAAGACATGATGTTCCGGAACACTAAAAGAAGCATAACATCATTTTTCATACGTAGTTTTCAATTCTCTTTCCTTTATCTGGTACTTAAAAAGACAGATAACAATAATGTATACTATAATATATGCACACTTGAGTGTCTAGTCTGTATGATGGATTGAAATATCCTACAACTTTGCTTTTGATCTGCTGCTGTCGGACATATGAGTCCGCTTCGTCCCTAATGAGTTAAGTTTGGTAGAAAGTTCTTACGGCCCTCACATTCGCCTAAATCAGCGTCTCACCTTCTCCGACTCCACCCGGAGCTCCGACTGCATAGAGGTCAGCTTCTGCTTGAGCTGCGTCACGTCGACGGAGACCTCGCTGTACTTCTTCTCTGCCTCCAGAAGCTGAGCCTCCAGTTTGTGCTTAGCCACCTTCTCCTGCTCCAGCTGGGCTTGCACTGAACCAACGGCAACACAGGGGGTGGTTATTGAGAGTGTTACATATTACTGAGTGTGTAACAAATGATTGAGGGTATAACACACAACACAGGGGAATTATAGAGTGTCCAACAAATTACTGACTGTCTAACAAATTACTAACTGTTCAACAAATAACTGAGAGTGTTTAAAATTACTGCGTGTTCAACACACAACACGAGGGAGTTACCGAGAGTCTAACACACAAAACAGGGGAAGTACTGATTAGTTTAGTTTTAGAAAGAGTTTAAAAGCACTTGCGACACAAATACGTTACATAAGTGCAGAAGATTAAAAGTGTTACTAGAAAGTAACATACAGTACAATGAAAAGAAGGAGGAGAGGTAAGGGAAGATAGATGTTTTAGGTAGGAAAAAAGGAGCAGCATCTGCCAAATTACAGCATGTCTAACACACGACACAGGGAAATAACAGTGTGACTCATAACAGACAACACAGGGTAATCACTGCGCGTGAAACACAACATAAGAAATTACTGTGTGTCGACAATAGCACAATACTGGCAAATCACTGCGTGTCTCACACAACACATCCATACCCCCCCATTTCTCCAAGACCTTCCTCTCGGTTCTCTTTGTACCAATCATCCCC